GGTATTTTATGAATTAGAAAATAAAATCTCAGCAAGGTTAAGAGGGTTACTCAAAGTCACACATTTAGTAAGTCTGGGGACTAGGAATCATTATTTTGATACCAAATTCAGTTTTCTTCCTGATATGCAAAATATTTTATTTATTTATTCTGTTTATTTTGTTTTTATTTTTATTTATTTATTTTTATTTGTTCAAGTTTATGAGGTACATGTGTAATTTTGTTACATACATAGTTTGTGTAGTAGTCAAGTCAGGGTTTTAACATGGATTGTATCTATTAATAATTTCTCATCATCATCCTTCCTCTCATTCCTTCACCCTTAAAAGCCTCCATTGTGTATCTTTCCACTCTCTACATCCATGTGAAATACATTTTTCCACACTCACTTATGAAATGAGAACATGTGACATTTGTCTTTCTGTGCCTTGCTTGTTTCACTTAAGATAATAACCTCCAGTTCCATCAGTGTTGCTGTAAAATACATTATTTTGTTATTTTTTATGACTGAATAGTATTCCATTGTGTAGATATACCACATCTTTATCCATTCATGCATTAATGGACACTTAGGTTGATTCCATATCTTTGCTATTGTGAATAGTGGTGCAATAAACATATGAATGAAGGTATCTTTGGGGCATATTGATTTATTTTCCTTTGGGTAGATACCCAGTAGTAGGATTGCTGGATCACATGGTAGTTCTATTTGCAGTTCTTTGAGAAATCTCCATACTGTTTTCCATAGAGGCTGTACTGATTTCCATCCCCACCAACAGTATATGAGTTCCTTTTTCTTCTCATCTTTGCCAACAACATCTGTGTTTTGTTTTGTTTTGTCTTTTAACAATAGCTATTCTGACTTGGGTAAGATGATGTCTCATTGTGGTTTTGATTTGCATCTCTCTGATGATTAGTGATGTTGAACATTTTACCATATACCTACTGGCCATTTGTATGTTTCCTTTGGTAAATGTCTATTCGTGCCCTTTGCCCACTTTTTAATGGGACTGTGTTTGTTGTTGTTGTTCTTGTTGTTGAGTTGCTTGAATTCTTTGTGTATTCCAGATATTAGTCTCCTGTTGGATGAATAGTTTGCAAATATTTTCTCCCATTCTACAGGTTGCCTGTTCACCATGTTGGTTATTTCTTTTCATGTGCAGCAGCTTTTTAGTGTAATTAAGTACCATTTGTCTATTTTTGTTTTTGTTTCCTGGCCTTTTGAGATCTTAGTCAAAAATTCTATGCCTAGGCCAATGTCCAGAAGAGTTTTCCCCTAATATTTTTATAGATTTGGGTCTTATGTTTAAGTCTTTAATCCATCTTGAGTTGATTTTTGTATATGTTGAGAGAGAGGTGTCCAGTTTCATTCTTCTGAATATGGTAATCCAATTCTCCCAGCATCATTTATTAAAAAGGGTGCCCTTTGTCCAGATTTCTTGTCAGCTTTGTCAAAGATCAGTTGGCTGTAAATATATGGCTTTATTTATGAGTTCCTTATTCTGTTCCATTGATCTGTATGTGTGTATTTCTACCATGCACAATGCTGTTTTGGTTACTCTAGTCTTATAATTTGAATGATGTGATGCCTCCAGCTTTGTTCTTTTTGCTTTAGGATTACCTTGGATATTTGGGCTCTTTTCCAATTCTATACTATTTTAAGACTGCTTTTTCTAATTCTGTGAAAAATGACATTGGTATTTTGGTAGGGATTGCATTGAATCTGTAGCTTTCTTTGGAAAGTGTGGTCATTTTAATGCTATTAATTCTTCCAATCCATGAGCTTGGGATGTTTTTCCATTTGTTTGAACCCTTTTAAATTTCTTTCATCAGTATTTTATGATTTTCATTGTAAAGAGCTTTCACCACCTTGATTAAATGTATTCCTAGATTTTCTTTTTTGTAGTTATCATAAATGGGATTGCCTTCTTGATTTCTGATTGCTTTTAGATGTTATATTCCCTGGGATATGTGTGCTGTTCCACTCAAGTTTCATATCAGAAAGCACTATACCTATCTATTTATTCATTTGTTTATTTGTTCATTCAAGAAGTATTCAGGTGCTTATAGGGGCAGAAGGTATTGGGGAGCATGGGCTCATTAAGAAGTTTACTGCCAAGGCTTTTATGAAGGAGGGGAAAGGACATAAGACTGGAAGGGTAAATTATCCCTATAGTTAATATTTTTAATTTTTTTTAATTTCAGCATATTATGGGGGTACAAATGTTTAGGTTTGCCCCACCTGAATCACAGCTTCAAACATGTCCATCCACCAGACAAAGTGGACTGCACCCATTAAGTGTGTTTACACCCATCCCTGCCTCCCCCTTCCCACTTGCTTGACAACTGATGAATGGTCTTATTATATGTGCACTTAAGTGCTAATCTGTTAATACAAATTTGATGGTGAATACATGTGGTGCTAGTTTTTCCATTCTTGTGATACTTTACTTAGTAGAATGGGCTTCAGCTCTATGCAGAATACAAGAGGTGCTAGATCACCATTTTTTTTTTTTTTTGTGGCTGAGTAGAACGCCATGGTATACATATACTCCATTTTATTAATCCACTCAAGTATTGATGGGCCCTTGGGTTTTTTCCACATGGATTGTGCTGCCTATAAACATTCTAGTACAGATGTTTTTGTTTATTTATTTATTTATTTATAAAATGTCTTTTTTTTCCTTTGGGTAGGTGCTCAGTAATGGGATTCCTGGATCAAATAGCAGTTCTACTTTTGTAGCTCTTTGAGGTATCTCCATATTACTTTCCACAGAGGTTGTGCTAGTTTGCAGTCTCACCAGCAGTCTATGAGTATTCCTATCTCTCTGCATCCATGCCAACATTTATTGTTTTGGGACTTTTTGATAAAGGCCATTCTCACTGGAGATAAGTGATAGCTCATTGTGGTTTTAATTTGCATTTCCCTGATGATTAGAGATGTTGAGTATTTTTTTTATGTTTCTTGCCCATTAGTCTATCTTCTTTTGAAAAGTTTCTGTTCATGTCCTTTGCCCACTTTTTGATAGGGTTGTTTGATTTTTTTCTTGCTAAATTTCCTGAGTTCTATATAGATTCCAGTTATCAGCCCTTTATTTGGATGCAAATATTTTCTCTCATTCTGTAGGTGATCTGTTTGCTCTCATGAGAGTTTTCTTGACTGTGCAGAAGCTTTTTAATTTGACCAGGTCCCATTTATTTATTTTTGTTGTTGCTCTGTTTGCTTTTGGAATCTTCTTCATAAATTCTTTGCTTAGGCCAATGTCTATAAGAGTTTTTCCAAGATTTTCTTCTGGAATTCTTATAGTTTCATGCCTTAGATTTAAGTCTGTTATCCACCGTGGGTTGATTTTTGTGAGAGGCGCGAGATGTGGATCCTGTTTCAGTCTTCTACATGTGGTAATCCAGTTTGCCCAACACCATTTATTCAATGAGGATTCTTTTCCCCAGTGTATGTTTTTGTCTTCTTTGTCAATGATTAGATGGCTATATTTAAAATATTTTGACATCAACTCAGCAAGAAGTCTTGAAGGGCATATAATAATTATCTACAGTATATAATTAGACTATAACCCATTGAGGGCAAGGACAATATTTTTGTTCACCATTGAACTCTACTGCTGAGGATAGTGCAGTCATATATATTTGTTTAGTCAATCAATAAATGTTCTGTCTAGGGGGTGAAGAGCCAAGTAAACAGAATATGGCAATAAAATATGTAATTGCCTGGCACGGTCTTCAGCATTTTGTAGGTGCACAGTATTTGCTATCTAGCACTGAGTACAATGTGGTATGGGAACATCCAGGACACTCTCCTTCTGTCCTGGGAGGAGGAGGCAACACTGAGTTGCATCTGGAAGGATGAATGGATAAAAGGGGTAAAAAAATGTTCCACATAAAGTGAACAGCGTGTTCAAAGACATGAAGGTTTGTAAGAGCACAACATACTTGGGAGAATACAAGTAGGTGAAATGAGATGAAGCATGTATATTCAAATAGGAATTCAGCCACAAAATGAAGGGATTTGAATGCCCTAAAGATTTTGACTTTATTCTGAAAAATGTTTTGGATCCATTGACAAATTTTAAGCAAAGCAGTGACATTATATGATTTGTATTTTAGAAACTGTTTTCTGAAATCATAGTTAATTTTTTTTTAATTTAAAATCTTTCAATACCAACTCAGCAAGAGTTGAACATTTGACTTTCATAAATGTTTAACTTTTATTATTGTCTGCACTGCAGCCAATAGATGGTTGTATGTCTCTGCATATATATATGTATAAAAAGCAATATTAGCAATAACATTTTCCTTAATTAATTTTCCCATGACTGAATTCCTATTTGAATATTCATTCTTACAACAGTGCAGTGTATTGTGATGCACTTTGGTGAAATTAACTCAACGAACTCTTCTTTCCAATTTTAATATTCTGTTGGGTTTTCTATTCCCGAAAACTCATTAGTATCCAAGTGCAGTGCTGACGAGAAACAAGAGAGAGGCATATTGTGTGAATGTGAGTTGCAGAAAAGAGACAGCTGGCACGAGAATTTTCTAATAACGTCCCCAAAAGGCTGCTGTGTCTTAACAAAAAAAGTATGCTCTGAGCTTTCCCTTTGTACTAAAAATCCTGAGTCTTATTTACACCTTTTTATGAATGCTGGCAAAAGCCAAATTGTTCTCACCAAAACCTTCTCATAGACCTATGCCAAAGAAGATTTGGTATGTTTTCCAAATTTTCTGGCGGTATTGATAATTTTTATAAAGATGCACTTCACCATGTGGACATTTGTACATATAGATGACATAGTTTTAATCTCCAGCAAAATTTTTACTATCAATATGTCTCTTGAATACCCCTCCCTCCTGCTGCTTCAGTCAACCTGTAATTTGACCTTGCAATTATGCTTACATTTTCCCACTTGCATGCTTTTACTTATGCTGTCATTATTTCTTTCTAGAAATGCTTTTCCTATTATCTTTATATGTTAACATTCTTACCATCTCTCAAGGCTGAGTTTAAATGTTTTCCCTTCAAGAAGGCTTTCAGCCCATGAGAAGAATTCTCTTTCTGGAATCTGTGGTACCCGTCACATTCCAAGTTCTCTGACAGTTGTTTGTGAGCACACCCTCTTATAATTACAATAGCTGTCATTTATTGAGAATCTGCAATGTGCCAGGCTTGGTGTCATTGTTAACATGTGAGGCTGATATTATTACCACCATTTTACCAAGGATGATAAAGCTAGGGACAAGTGTGACTATAAGACTACTTATTGTATGAAAGTGTGACTACTGAAAGTTCATACTCTTTAACCGTACTGGGTGGTTTTCTTGCTTTATTCTACCAGTGTTGGAACATAGTATGGTAGGGTATATTTAAGATTAGCCTTGAAGAATGAATGGATTAGGAGTTCTGAAGACAAGGGTTGGATGGGTACTATTTCAGGTAGAGGGAAATATGAGAGTAAGAATGAAGAAATATGTATGTAGTGGGGCAGAAGATATTGGGGAGCATTGGCTCGTTAAGTTGGTTACTGCCAGGGCTTTTATGAAGGAGGGGAAAAGACATAAGACTGGAAGGGAAAATCATGTCCAGATTGTGACAGGCCATGGATATGGAACAGAGAGGAACTCTAGTCCCAGGTTCAGGAATGGACGGAGAAGCTGAGGCCCTGGGTGGAGTTAGGAGTGCTCATGATAATATAGGAAAAGTGCCAGGGGGATAAGGCTCGAGAGTTCACAGCTTATTTTCAATTGGCTGGTCATCTGGGCATTCCCTCATCTTGAGAAACAGAACCAGCTGAAACTGGTTTGATGCTGATTTTCCTAAACTACTAAAGGACAGATCCTTAAATACTTGCAATAACAGGATTGGGTCAAGAACTCCCAGTTTGAGGGAAGGAAGAGATGTGAGGGCAGGGAACTAGGCAGAGCATTGCATAAGCCAAGTAAAATCAGTCCCTAAACTGGGTCATGAAGCAGGGAGGTGTGAGGGGGAAGTAGCAAGAACTTCCTTCGTGTTTTTAATGTGTTAAGACTGTTTTAGTTCAATGTGAGGCATGATCAGGAAGAACATATGTCCAAGTTTCTCTTGTTTTGAAGTGTTGATTGGTATAACTAAGAGAATGCTAAAATAGCTCTATAGACACATTGAAACATTTCTAAAGTAACAGCATAGCCTATTCCAAGGATGGCAAAGGGGAAGGAGGGTTTGTTTTATTCTTGTGGTGACATGTAACTAGCCCTTTGGTACATCATTAATTTTGAACAAGGGGTATCACCTGTCCAGCCAGATATTTGTGGATCCCTCTTTAGTAGTCAGGGGACTTACACAAGAGTTGTGATGCTTTGCTTGTAGCTTGGCTCACTTATAGTGTCTGTGGCAAATCATCTCTGCCTTCTATGGCTATTTCCTATGCCCTTTTCTATAGAGTTTGTTACATCAAGAGGAATTTCTATGGGGAAAGGGACCTAGTCTATGTTACTGCCATAGCCACAGAACCTACTATGTGGATATTTATTTGTTGAGTGAACAAATGGAACACAACATGGACTAGGAAAACCTGGGTTTAGTTCCCAATTTTGTCACATAATTGTTAGATGGGTGCTTCCAAGAAAAAAATGTAGAATTCCTGAGTCTCCGTAGAAAGAGAAAACAGCATCTGTCCTGTTTAACTCACAGAATTCTTGTGAGGATCAAGTACATATGAAAACACTCAGAGAGACATTATAATTAGCAGAAGGGGGATAAAAAGAAGAGCTCCATCACATATTGTGCCGTGTACCAGGTGCTTTACCTTCAAAACCATGTTTAAATCTCATGACAATTTTAAAGGACATTACTATTGTTCCCATCTTTCAAATGAGGACACTGAGGGTCATAGAAGCTAAGGTCACACATTTATTAAGTAGCAAGCTGAAGGGGCAGAGCCTTTTCTGTCTGTACTTGCAAAAACTCATGTTCTTATGCTCTATACTGCACAAATGTGAGGTAATTTTATTGAAATACTGACATTTTAATGTGAGATTTTACAGAACTCTATCATAGAAGGACAAAAGTCATTCTTAAAAGGTATAGCAATGGCACCTGACTTTGTCTAGAAAGAGATATCTTTGCCATAATTAGCATCATGATTCCCAGCAACCATGATGCTAATTAACAGGACATTTGCATACATGTCTGTGGGAACTAGAGTGGTAGTGCTTTTGCAAACACAGATATCTGCTGATGGTACTTTTCCTCATTTACGCTCAGCTCTCCTTTTAGTGATGCACATTTAGTGTGTTGAGTGCAGAATCATTTTGCCTATGTACACTATATTTGGTATAAATCTGTTTTTTTCCTGCTTTCTTGCATTGTTCTTCCTACAACAATTAGAACAATCTTGAGTGGTTCAAGTGAGGGAAAACATGTGATAAGTGAAGAGGAAACTATTTAGAGGCAGAGAGGTGTATGGAATCTTAGCTCTGCCCTCACTTAGCATGGGGACTTGGCTTCTCAGAGACTTGGCCTTCCTCTATGAAATGGTGACAAGAGCAAAATGGTGAAGAGAAGTATATCAGAAGGTCAGTGTATATAAGAGTCAGTTCCATGTAGTGCTACATGTGCCACCTTGTAAATGTTAGTCTCTTTCCTTCTTTTATCATTAATGTTTGGAATAACTGCTAAAAATCAAGAGATCTGGGTTCCAGTCCCAGACCTTGAGCAAGTCACTTCACCTTGCCAAGCCTTAGTTTCTCCATTTGTAATGAAGTACTTCAGCTAGATAGTCTATATTTTTATCATTGAGATTTTGTTCAGGTCTCATACACTGCAAAAGCCAAAGGTATGCCACATGGAATAAGTGTTGTGGTAGAGTTATGGAGGCTTTAAGAATACTGAGCAGAACTGACTCGGCCAGCCTTGGAGAAGGTGAACAGGGGGATACAGATCAGGAGGTCAAGGGAGTCTTAACAGTGCTTGAGCTGATTCTTGGAAAAATATAAGAGCTATTTAAGTACATAAAATAGCAGTATATTTATCAGTTTATGTAAAGCCTGAAGGTGAGAGAGCAAGAAATGTTCAGAAAACTGCAAGTGTGTCAACAAAGTAGAACATGTGACAGTGTTATGTAGTTATGCATGCATATATTATGAGGTTTGGAATAGGAGTGAAAGAGAAAGGAAAGCCTAAAGTACTAAGGAATTCATGCTTTTTGCCATAGATGATGAGGAAGTTTAGAAGTATAAATGGGGCATAATTAGGTTTGACTACTACAAATTACACTTTTGGGACTATGGGAGAGGCCAAACAGAGGCAGACCAATTTGGAGGGAATTGGAGGAGCTTCTGTATGAGCATGGCATATTTATGGGTGGTGAAGAGACCAATTGCTGCAGTAACTGTAATTAGGTGCTCAGATAGAAGGGGAAATGAGAAAGGCCAGGCCAGTAAAGTCAACCATCAAAGATCTCAAACAAAACTAGAAGGAGGCAGAACCTTTTCTGATTTATGATTGGTGTGAAATTGCAAATAGAGATCAATTTTATATATACTAAGCAAAGTGCAGTCTCCCCTCAAATTCCCTCTGAGATGCAGACATATTAATATTTCTATTAATAAATTTCTGTGTAATCCTTAGGATTGAATGTGAACATTAACAAAAATATCACCTAGTGGCCAGGAGGCTACCTGTAACAGGAGAGTCACCCTCTATATTTTATTAGGCTTAAGAACAGGAGTTTGATGCTTTTTAGTAGAATAGATTGCAAGATTATGTTTAGGAAGAGAATCTTATGCTTTCTTGGTGGTCACTGCCATTTTTTCCCTTATTAGCAGAATTATACTCTTCATATCACTGTAACTACATCATTCAAACTACAAAGTCTGATAAATGGAACTATGTAATTTCAATCTGGATTTACAGAGTATCTGTTACTTTTTGGAAGGCAGCCAGGTCTAGAGGAAAGGAGGATGAAGTTGTTAAGAGAATTAAATAAAATTGTATGAGACATGTCAGGTGCCTAGCACAGTGCCTGGCACAGGACAGCCCAAATAATAATGATCCCCTCCTTTATGCCCCTAGAAAACAAGGACCAAATCATGAATAAAGATCAACTTGTACTCACTGGGATTTATAGCCTCTTTAGAAATACAATGAAAAAAAATAATAGATAAAATACAATGAACACAAATAATCTTTCTAATGTTTCATAGTTTACAAATCACTGTCACATCCACTATTTCGTGTCAAGCTTCCAATATCAACTCAAATAACCAGGGCAAGGTATGTTATAGCCCAATTAAACAGATGAGGAAACTAACAAATAGGGAGATTATGTGGCTAGCCACAGCAAAATTGTTATCAAGTGACAGGGTAGGTATACTGGCTGCAAATTACAGCCCTTTTCATTACAAATTGACTCAATTTAGGGAATTATCCAGCACACTGTGGTAGGTACAAGGTACCATATGAACTGAATCCCAGCCTGTGCATGGTAGAATTTATAGTTTATAGTTTTATTGTAGAAACAAAGTGCTAAGGGAACCTAGAAGAGAAAAATGTTTATTCTTCCTGGCATCCTGCAATTCAGTGTCCTTTTCTGCTGTCTTTCAGAATCCACTTCTAAAGATAGACATTTTTCACTTGGTCTTCTGTCCTTGTCCTACTTAGGGTGAAGTTCCAGTAATGTCCTAGGAACTGGTCTGATATGCTGAGGTTTTTTGCTACATTCTGCTATTGTAATTCTTGCTTAATGTAGCCAACTGGGGCAGGTAGCCCTGTGCCTCAGCTACTGGGAGCCCCTGATATTAAGAGCAAACTACAATTCCTATGTCCTGCTACCCACAACTGTGATTTGAATCCTGAATTTCCCAAGGGGAGGCCCCAACTCCTGTCTTCTGTTATCCTCCAGTCTTCCATCATACCTCATCTTTTGTGCATTCCTCTCCCCAGCATCCTTAGAAATCCCATTATGCAGAACAAGCAAGACAAAATTCAACATGGCACTGACCCAGGGCCTTCACTGGTCTAGAGCTTCTGACTGGCTTATCTTAGATGAGGGAATATAGAGAAAAGAAGAGAATGCAACTAAGCAGATTGTTATTCTGAGGAAGGGAAGAAGAGTCCAGTGTATAATCTCTGCTTCCAAGAAGGTAAGACATATTTGCCTAAGTTCAGTAGACTGTAAATTAATAACTTATCTCAAGTGTTGTTTTAAATATTTCATTTATGCATTACCCCTCTGAGCAGGATTAATATTTTCATTTTACAGATGACATAACTGAAGCTCAGAGAGATAGCTGGGCTTTGCCCAATTTCCCACAGCCAGGAAGTAGTAGAACTGTGGTTGAGGATTCATTATTCTGACTGAATGCACCATTCTCTCCTTTTACTCAAAAGCTGTAGTAGATGATCAAGTTCTAAATCGTGCAGCTCAAATACCAAGTGCTGCTGGAGCCCAGGTTGAGGGTGGTCTGGGAGTAATGTGAGATGGAGCATTTGGGGAAGCTTTTCTGAAGAACCTAGGTATTTAAGATGAGTTTGGAGAGGGAAAGGGAGGAGACCATGTGGGAGCAGAATATTCAAGTCCACAGAGGTGGGAATGAGTTTAGCACATGTGGAGGTAGTGTGGATCATGGCCTTACGGGAACAGAAAGTGCATTTTGAGGAGGATGGCTTGGTTTGTCTGGGAGGAGGGCTGTCAGCCTGAATATGTCTCTTATCCCCTACTCCCCCAGTGACTTTAGGGAACATCCCTCTGTGAGTGTCAGAAGACCCACTGAAAGCAAGAATTTGGCTCTACCATGCAGACCATACTGAGGAGAGGTTTTTCCAAGCCATATTTAAAACCTTGTGTTGAAGAACATCCCTAAATTCTCTAACAGAAGACAGATGTCTGCCTGAACAAATATCAGCTCTCACATAATTTGTTGTTTTTATTTCCCTGCGTTTGCCTATTGAGTCTGACAACCTCCTATAATTATCCATTTTACAGAATGAATTATAGAGTGCATGTCCCACATATGTGGCTTACATTGTTCTTATTTCATGGAGTATGTGGTTATAGGGTGCCTCTGTGCAGGGTATCAGATTCTGTCTGGCTCCTTGATGTCACCTGCCTTCCCAAGCCCCTATGCCTTCACTTGGGCAATTTAATCTCCATCTTCTGGATTAGTACCTGCAGCACCAGTATATCAAGGCTATGGTTGGTCAGTGGATGAATGGAGCCTTAATTCAATAATTCAGTAAAATTAGCAATATAGCAGTATA